AATAAAATAAATAAATGGGGGGGAAATAAATAAATAAAAATAAAACAAACAAACAAACAAAAATACAATCCACACAGTAAATGAATAAAATGGCATTTACAATCTTGACATATAAAAAAAAAAATCTAGGAGTCTGAGGCTGCAGATTGATCATGCCATGATCATGCCACTGCACTTCAACCTGGGTGATGGAGTGAGACCGTGCCTCACAAAAGAAGAAAAAAAGCTGACTGTTGCCAAATAATAAAGCACATACTATATGATTCCATTTATATAAACTCTAGAAAATGTAAGGTATTCCATTGTGACAGAAATCAGATCAGTGGTTGCCTGGGCAGGGGTGAAGGCTGGAGGGGAAGATGGAAAAGAAACTTCTGAGGATGATGGATATATTTATTATCTTGAATATAATGATGGTTTTACAAATGTACACTTATGTCAAAATTTATTAAAACTTTTAAAAGCTGACTGAATATTAGTCATCTACACATAGAAGAAGTAATGCTGCATTAAAAGTAAAAACAGAGCACTGACTTTCCTGTAGCTCACTGTATATAAGCATACTGCCTTCTACCTACCAAAAGGGAAGCTGCTCCCCTAGACCGTGAGCTTTCTAAGGGAAAAGGTTGTGTTTGGCTTGTCCTTGTGTCCCTAGCATCTAGTGTAGTGCCTGGTACACAGGTTCTCAGTAAACATTGAATTGAACTAGATGTTTCTTTGAGAGTTTACACTGATTCCATAGAATTCAAATGTTTAAGCAGCTTACTAAATATTAAGCAGATTTCCTGAACTGGCCAGAAGCTTTTGTAGATGTTTCAGTTCTCAGGGGTTCTAATTTTGCATACAACCATAAAAATGGAAAGAAATGACACTTACCTGCTAAATTGAGTTGTTTTGCTATCAACCAACTTTGTGAGTCTCCAGGTGTACTTGCAAGAAAGAGGTTCTGAGAGACCTGATGATGGATAAGAAGAACATCTAGAGAACAGAAAGTGTTTTAAGATGAGCAGTTGCAGATTTTAAGTGTGGTTTGAAACTGGAATCTTGTTAATATATGTAAGTGAGAAAGTACATGTACTAGGGTATTCTCACACCTCACATCTCCTATTCACCCTCAGTAGGTCAGCTTCTCTCACACAGCTTCCCCCAAATTACAGCCATCTGATGGTAACTCCCCTAATTTTTCTTCCCTTGGCCTCCAAACTCTAAACATCCTTCCCTCCATATCTCTTATATTAATTAAAGAAAGACATAGCCTTATTACTTTCAGATCAACCTCTCCACTTCCGTTCTAACAACATATTCTTTTTTCTCCTGTCCTTAACCCATATTCTCATTTCCTCGCCCAAAATAAGTTTTCCTTGAGTCTCTTTTCTCTAAAACTTCAATTCCATCTTACTCTTCAATCCATCATCTTTCCAGAGCATTCCTTATCTCAGTTTCAGACTCACCATTTGCCCAGTCTGTCAGGCTAAAAATTTGCAGTTATCCTCAACTCCCTGTCTTCCTTATCAAGTTAATCACTCAGGCCAATTGAATTGCATTTCAGAAATATCTCTTATCTTTTAATTTTTTTTTTTTTTTTTCTTGGAGACAAGGTTTCATCATGTTGATCAGGCTGGTCTTGAACTCCTGACCTTGTGATCCTCCTGCCTCAGCCTCCCAAAGTGCTGGTATTACAGGCGTGAGCCACCACACCTGGCCAGAAATATCTCTTGAGCACATTTCTCCTTTGTCTCCCTTTGCCTTGCTTTGGCTCAGATTTTGATAATCTTTGCCCTGAACTATTGCATAGCCACCATATACTTCTTTCTACCAGATGTCTTTTCTTTTCCAGGCCAACTCGACATCACCACTACTACCTGAATTATCTTTCAAAAAATGAATCTGATTGGTTCACTTCTCTGCTCAAACCTTGACTCTGCATTGCTGATCAAATAGAGACCAAACTCTTGGGTATGACACTAACTGCCCCTCAATCCTACTTTGCCTTGCTTCCCCTAGGCTCCCACCACATTGAGCTTCCTGTTGTCCCATGCCCTGTGATGCCACAAGCCTCTTCATAGGTCAGTCCTTCTGTCTGGAATGCCCTTCTCATTCTCCTCCTAAGAAATTCCTACCTAGTCTTCAATGCTGCTTAAACAGCACCACTTCGAGAAGGCAACATTGATGTATTCCTCTCTGAAGAGTTAGATACCCCCATTCTGTGTGCCAATAGCAACATATTTTAGATTTCCATTTTAACACTTAACGTTGCTTTAAAGATTTTTGAAAAACTCTCTTTCTTTACCACTACTCTACAAACTCAGCTCCCTGAGGATAGGAATCAAATTTCATTTGTCTTTGTATCCCCTATGCCCAGGGGCATACTATATGATTCCATTTATATAAACTGCTAGTGATGGACATCTAGTAGAGACAGTGAGTGAGGGAGTGACTGAAGCAGCGGCAGTTTTCTACTGAGCAGCCCAGGCAGTGGGTGTGAAGTTAACAACATGTCTTTTTAAAACAGGCAAGAGAAAGTACATTAAGTGAATGTGCTGTACCAGCAGGGTAATATACCCCAAAGACAAGTGCAAATGATATTTGCTTCTTTCTTCTTGTTTGGATTAACTGATATTGCAGATTACTATTTGGATAAACTCTGCCTCTTCTTCCTTCCTGTGATATTGATCTAATTGAGTGGATAAGTCCTTGTCTTAGATTACCCACACCATTGTGCCCCTTGCGCA